TGAGGATTGGCAAAACCCATCACGATGCCCCACCTGGTTACATTTCTGGCAGTGATGTTGCCGAAACGTGCAGTCCCGATGGAAATGCCATGAGCCACAGTGCCGACAAGGAGGGGGCGGGGATTTCGCCTTGGGGGCTGGCTTGGGAACTGGCTCGGCCCGCCTTACCAGGGGTGGCTTAGATGTTGCGACCGCGTTCACGGAGCCAGCAGTAGAAGCGCCTTGAACTATGGCCGAATCTTACTTGAGGTCGATAAGTGCTTGACACTCAGCAGCCAGTTCTTGGAGGGTAACTGAGCTGTTCTGTTGCACGTGGGACAGAATAAGCGTCCGGATGTCGGCATCCTTGGGGAACTGTAGGCCGCAGATGAAGATAAGGCATTTAAACTGGTCTTCGGCTAGAGAGCCTAGTTGAAAACGCCCACACTCGCGATTCACAATGCCGGCATACTTGATGAAATCGTCAGATTCCCGTTTGCACAGCTGGAGACACTGGAATCGGGTGTTGAACAGTGAAGACTGTTCACCAAAAATCTGCGATAACGTCTTCAGCGTGTCCGCGAGGGAAATGTCTCTTGGATTCTTGGGCAAAATGAAGTTCGTGTAGCCTTCGTGCTCGGCAGAACCCAGTTTGCGAAGGAGTCGTACCTTCCATGCGTCTTCTTGTGCAGCCAGATCGACAGAGAATAAATCCTCATATCGTTTTTACCAGGAGTCAAAGGTAATCTGGGCCTGCGGGTCATACAAGAATTAGGTGATACTGCTGGCGATGGAATCGCGGATTGTGAGCCACCAGCAGAACTCGATTGGCCCGTGGAGGGGGTGGATATCTTGGCGGTGAGGGTTTCCATCAGCTTCAGCTGCTGTTGCAACATCAGCTTCAAGTCCGCGCACAATTCCTCCATTGTAGAGTGAAAGACTGCGTCGCCAAATTGTTATGACCCGCCTTGGTACTTCTATAATCAGCACGAACCGGTACCCCAAAGAGCCCGTAAGAGAGACAGTGAGAAGACCAGTCTGCCAGACAGAGTCTACTCAGACAAGAGCACGGTACAGCGCGTTGATGCAAGCAAGCGCAAGTCGAGTCAGACACAGGGTGCATGTACTTTAAAGGGGACGCGAGAGACATCGCGCGACAATGGCCAATCATGATCGGGGGAAAATCGATAGTCACGTCGCACTCTCATGACAGCTGCGTAAGAGGAGTTCGCGGGCCTGGAAATGGGCGCGCCGCTTGCGCAGGCCATCTATCTTTTAGGCGTATACTAACAGAATGGTCGTGGGAATGGGCAAATTCCCAGCAGAAACATTAGTGAAAAA